CCTTTGCCAGAGCCCCCACGCAGGATTCGTGGCTGTCCCCAGTGAGAGCAGCCACCTCCAGGGCTCCAGGTTAGTATGAGATGTGATCATGCTACTCAGGCAGGGTCATTCTCCTTGACCACCCTCTCCCATCACCTCCAGCACCTATGGGTGGTGGCAAGTTGGGGGCAAAGGGGTCTCATTCATTTGCCACGTCTTGGTGAGGTTGGCTGAGGGTTTGAGCCATCGACCCACTGGAGGGGATGCTGGGCAGGCAGGCTGGGCTGCAGGAGCACTGACACGAACCCACCGTGTTGAGCAGAGCCCAGGACACAACTCAAGGTTGTGGCAGGGGGGGAAAAAAGCGTGATGGGCCAAGGGTGGTGGATTTGGGCAAGCCTGGCAATCGCCAAGCACCTTGTGCTCCCCACCAGCCGCTCGCTCCTAATCCTGACACAGGCCTTTCAGTAATAAAACGGTTTGGAACTGGTGTTAGTACCAGCGCTAATGTGCCTTGAGGTTCTCACTTCTGCTTCAGGTCACTGCAAAGAGAACTGGAGCGCATCAGGAGACAGAACCACGGGGTTGCCATCCCCAAAAAGAGCTTGGGGGCCCACTCAGAAGAGACTCAGTGAGAAAATCACCTGTTGGGGTCAAAAACTTGAATTCCAGTGCCCAGTTTACTGCACAGACTTACTGCGGGGCTGAGCTGACAGGGGGTGTCTAGGGGCTGAATGTGCTGTCACTTTTCTGCTCTCTATCCTCTGGGCCTCCTGTGTGACTGAGCACCCTCCCTGGGGACTCTTTTTGGGACAGGTGTCTTCCTGAGCTGGACGGGCTGGGGGAGCTGCCATGCTCACTGCCAGACTGGGTTACCTGGGATGGTCTCGTTGGGTCCAGTGCAAAAGACCTTTTTCACAGGATCTCCGTTGATGGTGAATTCCTCCCTGCACGTCCCATCTGCTTGTGTGGGCTTCACATACACAAAGGGCTCTTGGTGGATCGTCACGATCTGCGAGGCAAAGCACAAACACCCACTTGGCTCCGCTTCCCTCAAGCTATGTTCCTCTGGGTGGGGAGCTGGGCTGCCCTCTCCACGCAAGCACTAAAATGCTGTGGGTTTCTCCTTAGCTGCTGTCTCAGTACATGGACAGCCCAGGAGCAGGACCTGGCTTTGGCATGGGGAGCATTTGCTTTCCCTGCACTCAAGATGAGGAACATCCATATAAGCACCTTTGTGTGGTCTCAAAACCTTTCACATCCCTCTCCCTAAGAGGCTGGTGAAAGCCACTGCATAGGCAGGATTAGTGCCCTGAACGGTGCTCTACACACCGCCCCAAGCTAGTGCAGATATTTCAGTCCTGCCCACTTCCCCACACTTTCAGTAAAGCAGCATCCCAACACATCTGCACCACTTCTGCAGGAATAAGAGCTCACTGCCAGTGGGAATATGTGATTTCCTTTGCCTGGACAGTAGGACAAATGAATGGTCACACTGGGGAGAACAGCCTGCCCAGGACCAAGGTGGCTGCTGGGCTACACTTGATGGAAGCGCATGAGAAGCAAAGCAAGAGTGGAGGGACCTTCTCCCAGTGTCACCTCCAGCTTCTGGCCCGCAGCTCTTCAGCGATTTCCTGAGCCCAACGCTGCAGCCATCAGCCAACCCACCCTGCACTAGCTTGTTCGATCGTTTTTTGAACCTGTCTCCTATGCCTTGGCCAAAGGAGCCCATCTTCCTGTTTCTTGCAGACCTGTGCTGGGTGCCCTCTGGCTCCCAAGCCATGAGGAATGATGAACACCTGATCCCTCCATCCCTTCTCTGCTGTTCCATCCCATATCCCCTTTCCAGCTGTCTCCTTCCAAATCAAAGGATGCCTGTCACCCTATCAAGTTTGTCTCCAGCTGGAAGTTGTGCTCTAGCTCCAAACACCCTCCAGTACCCTCTCCAAGGTGTTCTGTTATGTTCGCTCCGAGATGGCAGGTGTCCTGGGTTTGCAAAGGCTGCTGCCATCTGCAGAGGCAGCAGTGGAAGTGTGAGGCAGATAAAGACAGAGCCCTGCAGGCAGACAGTAGAGGACACATGCCACCCCCTCGTGCCATCTGCGGTTACCTTCAACTTGGTCGACATCTGATAGCCTTGAGGTTTCTCAGTTTCCCCCCCTGGCCAGATAATCTTCCGGTCATTGGTCAAGACCTGTGATCAATCCCAGAGGAAGGAGACAGACGTGAGGCCACAGGCAGGCACCTCAGAGCACGCATCCCTCCTACCCAACCTGCCCAGGTCTGTACGTACGTGGCTGCCATTGAAAATCCCAACTTGGACCAGTTTCCGATTCTGCAGGTTCATGATGCTGTAGTTGGCAAACTTCCTGTCCCCGTCCTCATTGAATTCCACCCGGCCAGTGACACCCTCCGAGTACTTGGAGGACATCAACACCCTGTGGAGAGAAACACAGTGAAGCCAACCTAGAAAACCTGCTGTGGTCACTGGGACACCTATGAAGGTGTCAGAAAGGGGAATGCTTTCTCTCAGTTGCCCACTACCCTAGAGAAGTCCAGTCAGGCTGCCTATGATCGGTTCACAGACCTGTGGTCATCTCTTCCTGGTGGATGGAGTTTCCTGAATGTTGCACTACCAGATCTGTTGTCATCACCCCTTGTTTTGCACCAGATCATCCCCATTCCATTGAGGAATGATCTGTCCTACAGCATCCACGGACACCTTCCTCTGGGGAAGGTTCATGCCACCACTCCATGCTTCTGCCTGGCACCAGCTATCGAGGTAGTGCCCTCATCAAGGGGAGAACCAGCCCATCACATGCTGAAAAGACGATAGTGAAGACACAGAACTGCCTGAGCTGCTTGCAGTGGCACTACAGCCAATAACTTGGAATAGCTCATGCCAAAGAGCATGTTGCTGTGGAGGATGCTGGATTTTTTTTCTAAATTAATCTTCAGGCTTTGCAGGTCCCAAGCTTAAGAGAAGCCAGAAAGGGCATCCCACTGACACCACAACCATGTCTGCAGAGAGCAACCCTCAGCACAAGATGCCACTGCCACAAGCAACACCTTGGTGCCAGGCTGCAAGCTGACGAGAGCTGCCCTCCCACACAGAGAGCCATGCCGCAGAGGGAATGGTTGCTTTTCCAAGGTCCAGCCTGCAGAAGAGGCCCTTGGGGTTCCAACATCTGCAGGGATGCAGCACAAAACTGCACAAAGACTGGGCTCTGGGGAATGTAGTGCAACATCTGCCGATCATGCTGCCCATAGCAGCGAGATGCAACATGTGCATGCTCTGACCTGCTGAGACCCCACCGTCAAAAACCACAGCACCGGTAACTGCTACAGCAGAGAGCAGCCTGTCCCATGCGTGGAGATCTCATGCCCCCAAGTCCTGCTTGCAGCACACACTGACCCATGCTGCAGCCCTGAAACATTCAGCAAAAAACATCTCTGCAGCACTAAGCTCCAGTTTGGCAGAAACATCCCCTTAGCCTGATTTGACAGAAAAAAACCTTGCTCCCCTCTTCCACCCTCAGAATTAAGATCCAGACCTCAGGAGATCATCCCTCCATGGCCCCCAGATCTCTTCCTCCTGGAGTTGTTCCCTGTCCACACTGACCCCAGCTGCCCAAGCACCAGGACGATGCCTAAACAGCCTGGACAACCTGGGGCCCAGTGCCCAAACCCGTGTCCTGGCCAGTTTTCTAGAAGAGATGTATCCCTCATATCTAAATCATGCAGGAAAGCCCAAGCAGTCCTATGCAAGCTTTAGTGACGGATACTTTGAACAAGGCTACCATGCTGCCCTTTTCCACATGCTCCCACCTTTTCCAGCTCTCCCCCAGCAGGTCCTCTGCTCCCTCCAGCAGGACCCTTCCCCAAATACCTCTTGAACAGGGGTCCTGTCTTCCAGATGTTGGTGTTGCCCACGCAACCCCGCGGTGGGTCGGTGATGTTCTCCTTCTCAAACAAGTCGTGCACGGCCTGGGCCACCACCGCGACCGCGTCGCTGATGTGAGCTGACTCGTTCTTCCCGTTGATGAGCTGCAAACCGATCACTCCTGCCGCGGCAGAGGGGAGGAGGCGGGTCAGCGGGTGCACTGGCGTTCCTCCCACGCAGGGGTCTCAGGGGAGAGCGAGCAGTGGGGTATGGGGCTGAGGAACCCTTGGGTGCATTGGGGGAGTTGCCTGAGCTTCAGGCAGAGACAGGCAGGGCCACGGTGGCGCTGGGCTTGCACCATCTCGCCTGCTGGGTGGGGACTGGGGACTGCTGGCACTCCACGCTCCATCCCCATCCCCTTTTCCCAGCCTTTCCCCCGGGGGACGGTCATCTCGCGAGCTGGGTTTGGGCACAGCAGCGAGGCGCAGGCTGCTGTTTTCCCACGTGGGTGACGGAAGCGGAGAGGAACACATGGGACCCTCCGTTTGCTCAGGACTGCCATGGCATCGTGCTCCCCCAGCCCAAGAGGTCCCTAGGAGGGAAGATGCCACTCGCCCCAGCTCTGAGCAGGCTCCTCCCAGCTGCGGCCGGTGGGAGGATGGGGGGTCTCGGGGGGGGGC